GATCGCAAAGCTTCCAGAGATAAGAATGGGCCCCATTCAAGGGACGAGGAACCAGGACCTCAGAGTTCTCAGCACAATGCTGGCAGCTGGAGGATGGGAACGGTGGGTTCCGGGTCTCCAGTCTGGAACCCCACACCCAGCTCAGCCAGCCGTCCCGAGCGCGGTAGAAGCAGGCGCTTGTCATCAGGCTCCAGCTCACAGATGGTGGGCTCTGCCGCTGTTCACGCGTACACCGAGGGGCACACGGCTAGAAGACTGGGTCCCTCCAGCCCCAAGGAGATGCAGGGAGACATTCATGGGGCGCCAGGGGGCAGGGCACGACCCTCAGAGATTCATGGGGTTCAAGCGCAGCCCCTGCATTTGGCTGTGTGGGGAGGGTTTGCAAGGAATTATTATCTAGAGTCGGGCAAGGAATTATTAATAGGCACATAAAATACTGAGCAAGCAAGCAAAGGAAATAGTCTCATAGGAGAAAGGAAGCGTTATCACTACACGCTGTACTTTGGATTAGACCAAGAATTGTGCCAAGACCGTGTAGAGGAGAGAAGCCTGCAGGAGGGAAGGTGCCTCGGTCAGCAGTCGGTAACCTATCAGAAGGGACAGATGTGAAATAACGGTGTAATCGCGTCAGAAACTGGAGGGTAAGAGAAGAATCAGCAGGGCTTTGCTATGTTCGCAGGAGTGGGGTGGGGAGGGGCGTGAGATTTTTTGACCTCAGGCTTTTGACTTTTTTTTTTTAATTTATTTTTGACTGTGCTGATCGCCCCTGCTGTGTGTGGGCTTTCTCTAGTACGGCGAGCGTGGGGGTCTCCTCTTCCTTGTGGCTCATAGACTTAGTTGCCCCTCAGCTTGTGGAATCTTCCCGGACCAGAGATCGAACCTGCGTCCCCTGCGTTGGCAGGTGGATTCTTAACCACTGGACCACCAGGGAAATCCTTTCCAGACTGTTAAACCCGGTATACACGTGTGATCTTCGGTAAAGTTTAGAAATGAACAGAATTCCAAAGTGTCCCAGCCCCAGGATCCTGGCAGCTGCAGGGGGTCCAGGTCCGACTGGTTCCGACCGTCACGTGCTGGCCTGTCCTGTCCCCAAGGGTTCTGGTGGGAATCTTGACGGGCTCCACCCCAGCCATCCCCAGGGAGTTCCGCCTGAAACCTCAGCATTCTCCGCCGGGTCTCTGCCCCAGAGGCCCGGTGTCAGAATCACTGCCGCCGCCTTGGAGCCTCCCGGGAGCAGTTTCCCTGCCGTCAGCAGAAGCACGCCTGTGAGCCATCCATCGCATCTGTTGACTTGAAAACGAGCTGCCAGAAAGCGCGTGGCTCGTGTTACTTCCCGCGAGGCCCCCGCCTGGCCAGTCCCTAGTGTTCCTGGGTTGAAAGCCTGGCTCTCCTCCACCTCACCTTGAATTTGCTGGCCGGCAGGCTGGCCTCCTGGGTGCCTCTCCCCAGGGGGATCAGATGCAGAGGGGTGGCGGGAGGGGCTTGAGGCCCGGCTTCACCCCCACCTGCTTTTGCCCATCCTGTCCCGGTGGCTGGCTGTGCCCCCTGCCCCCGGCTCCCCCAGGGGTGCTGGGGAGGCCGTCTATGTAGAGGTGTGGTCTCCACCTCTCCAGGGGTCGCTCTTCCCTCCCCAGCTCTGTGACCTTGGCCTGGAGCTTGAACTCTGAGCTGCTTTATCCACCATGGGGGTGCTTGTCAACCCTGCCTCGGCCGTGTCGGGCCCTGCCCCGGGCGTCACCCATCAGCCCATCTTTGAGGGAAGGCGGCCCGGCTTGGGGTTTGAGGGGGTTGGGGTGTGAGGGGCTGGGTGCGTTTCCGATGTGAGTGATCCGGGTGAGCGGTGCCCGCAGGTGTTGGGGATGTGACCTAGGGCGGCAGGAGGCAGGGGTCCAGCTTCTCCCTGGAGCCCAGAACGGGGTGCAGCCTCACCGACCACTTGATGTTAGCGCCGTGGGACCTGTGCTGGCCTCCTGGACCCCCAGAATGATGAGTAGTACCTGGGTTGTTCTGGGCCACTGAGTTGGTGGTGATTCGTCACAGCCCCTGCAGAAACTAGTAACATGACCCAGCCTCGCTCCCTGCGCACACGAGCTGCCCCCCATCAGCTCCCCAGTGGTGCCCAGAGCGCTGCATGCAGGCGGACAGGAAGCCCAGGGCGCCCGGTGCCCCCGGGGCTGGGGAGACTTGGGAGGGTCCAAGGAGGCCTCTGAGTGGTGGCCCAATGCGTAAGTCCAAGGTGACCAGGCAGAAGGGCAGCCCATGGCAGGCCTGGGCCCTGGGTGCTGGGTGCAGGAGGTGGTGGAGAAGGCTGGCCACAGCACAGAGGGCCGGAGCAGGGGAGAGGAGGCCGCAGGCTGAGCAGGACTGCGTCCCTGGATGTGAGAACGGCAGGCAGGGCCCCGGCCACAGTAGCCAGGAGAGCGGGTGGATGGGCTGGGCAGGGCCCTTGCTAGCGGGCAGGGGGACGCCTTGGCGGTGGGACCTGGAGGCGCCAGTGGGCAGGGGAGGCGCCTGGTGGAGGGCTTGCAGAGCCAGGGCAGTCTGTCTGCAGGGCGTGTGCTTGGACTTCAGTTGAGGGGCTTTGTTTGGACCGGGTAGTCACTGCCTGGTAGAGTCATCATCCCCGGTCATTCTTTTCTGTGGTGGTTTGGTCACATCCGGCCAGCCTGGGGACACCAGGGGCTGTTGCCCGAGTTGGTCCCAGGTCCCCCACTGCCCGTCCTCCCTGGTGCCTGGCAGGGGCATGGTGCGCCCTCCTGTGCTGGAGACGGGAGGGCCAAGCGGTGCTCCACCAGGAAATGGACTTACAGGGCTGCCCTGGAGAGGGGGCTGCGAGGGCCAGGCCACAGAGACCTTCCTGCAGGCTCTAATGAGGCTGGCTTTCTGGCACAGATCCTTAATGGAGGCACGGATGGAGCTTGTGAAATTGCTGTGTCGATATTGATGTTAGATGTACTAATGTGCAGGAATGGCTGTCTGGGTCATTGCCTATGGGGGCTACAGGGGTGGGGGTTGGCAGCACTAAATGTAGGTCCTGAAGAACTCCTTGGTGGTGGTGGTGTAGTCGCTCAGTCTTGGACTGTAGCCCGCCAGACTCCTCTGTCCATGAGATTTCCCAGGCACGAATACTGGAGTGGTTTGCATTTCTTCCTCCAGGGAATATTCCCAACCCAGCGATCAAACTCACGTCTCCTGCACTGTAGTCAGATTCTTTACCATTAAACCACCAGGGAAGCCTGAAGACCTCCCTGGGGAGGCCTCTGTTAGTAGAAACTGCCCATGGTCTGATTTCTAAGGTTCCCACCCCTCCCTCCCCTGCCCCCACCCCCACACACACTTTTTGGTGCTTTTTACTAAGGATTGAGCATTTTGACATAAGTGCTTGCTTTGGTATGTGTACCAAAATCCTCCCCTGCCCCCACCCCCACCCAAGTATAGCTGCCCTGAGCTGCTGGATGGGTGGGCCTCGCCAGGAGGAGCGGGCAGATGGGAGCCATACACCAGCGCTGCCACCTTGGGCACCGTTAGGCCTCAGGAACCTCACCTCTAAATGGGGGTGATGGTCCCCGCATCTCAGGTTGCTGGGCGACAACAGCCGCAGAGCAGACTCGCTTTGGCGTCTCGCTCACTGTGCTCAGCATCGTGTCTGGACCCAGCCCTGCCGGGCACTGCGGCCCTTCGCGGCTCCCCCTGCTGCCTGGTTCCCATCGTCCGAGTCTCGGGGCTGGTTCGCTTCCCCTGCTGCTCACTGGCATGTCCGTCGTCCCCAGGGTCTGCTTTTCTGAGGAACCTGAAGGGCTGTCCTGGGCCGTGTCTCTCAGCGTGGTCCTGGTGGTGGTTCTTCAGTCGCTCAGCCGTGTCCGACTCTTTGTAACCCCATGGACTGCAGCACACCAAGCCTCTCTGTCCCTCACCATCTGCCAGAGGTTGCCCAAGTTCATGTCCATTGCATCGGTGATGCCATCTCATCCTCTGATGCCCTCTTTTTCTGCCCTCAATCTTTCCCAGCATCTGGAACTTTTCCAGTGAGCTAGCTGTTCACATCAGGTGGCCAAAATACTGGAGTTTCAACTTCAGCATCAGTCCTTCCAAAGAGTATCCTGGGTTGATTTCCCTTAAGATTAACTGGTTTCATCTTCTTGCTCTCCAAGGGACTCTCAAGAGTCTTCTCCAGCACCATAATTCGAAGGCATCAATTCTTCAGCACTCTGCCTTCTTTACAGTCCCTCTCTCATAACCGTATGTGACCACTGGGAAGACCACAGCCTCGACTAGGGACCTTTGTCGGCAGAGCAGTATCTCTATTTTTTCAGCACACTGTCTAGGTTTGTTGTAGTTTCCCTGCCGAGAAGCAAATGTCTTCTGATTTCATGGCTGCAGTCACCATCCGTGGTGATTTTGGAGCCCAAGAAGAGGAAATCTGTCACTGCTTCTGCCTTTTGCTCTTCTGAGTAACTCTGCGGGGCTCTTCTGGCCCTTGTCTCTCGGAGTTATCCTGGTACATCTCTCTAGGTATAGGTCAGACCCTTGTTTTGCTTTAGTAGATACCAGGAGATGTGGTTTTCATTGTAAATAGTGATTGATGGGCCAGTCATTCCCCTGGACCCTCATCACTCCTGGGTAAATGGAAATTCAGCTTCTAGAAGCCCAGGACTGAGATCCCGCACTCTTCACAGTCCTCGAGTCCCTGGGGGAGGCAGGCACCACGCGTTCTGTTCACCCGTCATGGCGGCCTTGCGAAATCTCCTGTCTGCACTTAGTGCTGAGAAGACAGGAGCTCAGAAAGGCCAGCTCAGCCTGTCATCTCGAGAGGTGGCATTAAGGCCAGGGTCTCGTGCTGAGGCCAGTGTTACTGCACTTGACTCAAGACTCTGCCGAGACCTCCCCACAAAACCTGCAGCCCTTCAGCCCTTTTCTGGGGTGGTTGGTGCTCCCCCGAGAGTGGGGCTGGCCCTCGGGCTTCCTTCTAGGCGCCCCCTCACCAGCTTCTCTCCCTCCAGGCACCAGCTTGCTGCAGGAAGTGGTCTACTTGGTGAGCCAGGGGGCTGACCCCGATGAGATCGGCTTGATGAACATCGATGAGCAGCTCCCGGTCCTGGAGTACCCTCAGCCAGGCCTGGACATCATCAAGGTGGGCTCGGGGCAGGCGTCACAGCCCATGTGACTCCCGTGGGGCCTTCCTGTGGTTGCTCCCGAGGGGTTCCTGGGGCCCCTGTGGTTGGAAGGAGAGCAGCGAGCAGGGAGAGACTGCTGGCCTGAGCTGCCAGGTGACCCTGGACCTGAACCAGTGGGTCCTGGGGGTGACTTCAAGGAGGAAAAGAGGCAGCTGCTGGGAGTAGAGGGGGATGGGGGAGGGGGAAGGTTGGGGGAGGGGCCTCCTGCTGTGGTTCATCCTGCCTGGGGGGACTGGGTAGGATGTGTCTGCATCATAAATGCTTGGTACCAAGAGTGAAACAAACATCCATGAGTCCCGTCCGGCCTACCCCTCAGACATTATCAGGGCTTTTTGCCCTGCACCCTCCCCTCCGCCACCTCTCAGTTCAGGCCTCACTTCCCGTGTGCACCCCCCCTGCCGGTTCGTTCTCCCGTGAGATGGGCATTCTGAAGCTCTGAGAGCACCCTTCCCCAGGTCAGCATTCGTGTTGCCGCCTGCCGACCCTCCCCGTGGAGCTGGGTGGGTGCCGCTGCTGCCCTGCTCCTGGCCTTGGGGTCCCGCCCAGAACTGAGCTGACCGTGTGACGTCAGAGCCCTCGCAGCAGTTAGAGCCCGCAGGAGAGGAAGACCGAGGGTCCCAGCGGCCGAAGGGCGCTCCACCAGACAGAGCGACGTGGACGGGCTGGGGCCTGTCGGCGCGGACCCCCGAGCCAGGGCCTGAGGCAGAGCGCTGGCTGATGGAGGGGCCAGGCGCGGCCAGGGGCAGCGGGGAGCCCTGCGCTGAGACCACTGCAGGGCCCAGCAGCCCCCCGCCCTGTGCTTCTGTTTCCTCCGCGGCCCTTCATGGCCCGTCCTGCGGCCGCTCTTGGCTGCTCCAGGCTGCAGCCCGCCCTCTGAGCAGTCCTCTGAGCCGACCCCTGCCGGTACACTTAGACTCAGGCTGTGGGTGCCCGTATCTGGCTCGTGTCTGCCCCCCAGGGTCCAGCCTGGGCAGGGCTGGGGGTGTATCTCAGGGAGAAGGTTCTGGGGCGGGGGTGCTGGTCCTGACTCATCCGAGGCCCCATCTGGCCCGGTCCAGTCAGGAAGTCTGGGTGTCCTCCTCTGACCACCTCCCCTCTCTGCCCGCCGCAGGAACTGACATCTCCCCGCCTCATCAAAAGCCACCTCCCCTACCGCTTCCTGCCCTCTGACCTCCACAACGGCGATTCCAAGGTAACCCCCAGCTCCCCGCTGCCACAGCGGCTCCCCACTCCTGGAACCAGGGGCCTGTGTGCCAGTCCAAATGGTGGTCTGTCACAGGCATGAGTTCCCAGAGAACCTTGGTGGGGTGGGACCCCCGGAGAGACGTCCTTGAGCCTTGTCACTAGTGTTTTATATCCATGTTGCTTATCTGGGTTCTTTCTCACAGTTGAACTTGAACTTGACCAGCCAGGGCCCAGCCTCTGCCTGTTTAAGACCTAAGGACTCAAGACTGCTTTCATTGCTTGTGCTTTTTTCTGTTCTCTCAACTGCATGAGATATTTGAGGTCTGTAGTTCTCATCACCAGGAGTGTCAGGACCATAAGTTTTCTGTCTTCTGCTGATTTTAAAGTAGTCCTAGAGACACTGCAGCATTCATAGTAGCCCAGTGTCCAATAGCCAAGCTTCGGAAGCACCCCCAGTGCCCGTCATCAGATGAATGGATATGGAGGGTCTGGTAGATACGTACAGTGGAAGACCATTCAGCCATAAAAAGAGAAGGGGATTCTGCCATTTGCAGCAGTGTGGCTGGACTTGGGAGACGTTATGCTAAGTCAGACAGAGAAGGACAAATACTGTTTGGTATCACTTTGTATTTTTTCAGTGGAATCTGAAAAACTGCAACAAACTAGTGAATGTAATAAAAACAACCAGACTCACAGATAAAAAGAAAACCAGTGGTTACCAGTGGGGAGAGGGAAGAGGTCAGGGCAAAATAGGAATGGGGATTAAGAGATACAGACTATTGTATAAAATGGACACGAACTTGGGCAAACTCCAGGAGATGGTGATGGACAGGGAGACCTGGCGTGCTGCAGTCCATGGGGTCACAAAGAGTGGGACACCACTGAGCAAGTGAGCAACAGCAACACCATGTATAAAATGAGCTACAAGAGTATATTGTACAACATGAGGAATATAGCAAATATTTTATGTAAAAGGAGCATACTCTATGAATTTTGAGCCACTGTATTTTATACATGTGACATATATAATACTGTATATCAACTATCAGTTCAGTTACTCAGTTGTGTCTGACTCTTTATGACCCCATGACTGCAGCACGCCAGGCCTCCCTGTCCATCACCAACTCCCAGAGCCTGCTCAAATTCATGTCCATTGAGTCGGTGATGATGCCATCCAACCATCTCATCCTCTGTCTTCCCCTTCTGCCTTCAATCTTTCCCAGCATCAGGGTCTTTTCCCATGAGTCAGTTCTTTGCATCAGGTGGCTAAGGTATTGGAGCTTCAGCTTCAGCATCAGTCCTTCCAATGAATATTCAGAACTGATTTCCTTAATGATTGACTGGTTTGATCTCCTTGCAGTTCAAGGGACTCTCAAGAGTCTTCTCGAAAGTATCAACTATAGTTTAATTAAAAAAAAAACTAGTGCTAGAGGAGAGAAATGTGATCAAACAGGCAAGTAATTGTCCTAGCTGATGCTGTCCTCTGGACAGGAGTACACTCTGCTGAAACAGAGCAACAGTGAGAAGGCGTTTGGTCCTGGTGTGTGAAGGGCTGACCTCACTGGGTAATGGGGTAGAAGAGTAGTTTGTAGGTCAGTGGAACCTGCTCTGGGTGGCCTGCCTGGAATGGAGGATTGCAGACTAACCTCGTCTGTCTGTCCCCCTGTCCATCCTTCCTCCCCCTAACTGCCACCCACCCCCCCCAACCCNCACTCCAAGGGAGGGGCGGGACAGTGCTGTGGGCAGGAAGCGTGTTTCAGGGGAGAGGTCTGGGCCCGGGACGAGCATGCCAGGGCCCCTCCATCCGTGTCTGCCCTCCCTGGGGAGGAGCAGACCAGGGCGGGAGCTGTCCCCTTGGCCACGGGGTTGGTTCTGTTCCTCCACCTGCCAACCCTGGCTTCTCTGCACACCCTGCTGCCTCAGCCTTTGCACCCAGGAGAGTAATTAAGTCTGTCCGGAGACTCCTGCAAATACACTTCCTGTCTTATTTCCCTTGGGGAACCCTCAGCCTGGCTGTCCATTTGTTGTCCAGCCCAGGCAGGGCAGGGGTTCTGCAATGAGATTATGTGGCAGGAGCATGATAAAGCGCATAGAGACAGTCCAAGAGCTCAGTGCCCCAAATTTACATGGGACCTGGGGCGGCTGAACTGGAGCCTGGGTAAAGACCAGACCTCCTGAGTGAGCTCCCCACAGTGCCTGAGGCCCTCTTGTCCCTGCCCTTGCGTCTCTGCTTCAGCCCGGTCTGGGGAGGAGGGACCCTGGATGGGAAGGGACAAGTGTAGGTGGCCCCAGCAGTTGTGCCTTAAGGCCCTGGGAACCTGCTGAAGGCCTCTGTTCAGCCTCCCGTCCCCCCAGCCCATCAGCTGGCTCAGGCCCCTCCTGGTCTGTCAGGCATTTGGTTCCCAAAGCTGTGTCTTAAGTCCTGGTTTGCATTCCTGCCTTTAAAGCAGCCGCCAGCACCGGAACACCACCATTGCAAACAGTGGGTGTCCACCGCGTTCACACTGCCCCGCGGAGCAGGCCTCAAAGCCCCTGCTCAGGCCAGAGCAGTTATAAGTCATCCAGTGCAGGCCCCTCCATCTCATGAAGGTCACGGCGCTGCCCAGCACTGACGTTCAAGGCTGCGCACGCTTGCTGTGTTCCCCCAAAGCCCCTGCACCTGAGCACCCGGTCCCACTTATTCCCTGCTCTGAGGAGGCTTGCCTTCTCTGTCCAAGGTGCTGAAGAGCTTGAGTGCCGTGCAGAAGAGGCAGTGAAACTCACTGCCCACTGCTAGCCGGGGCGTGCTGCCCCGAGGCCTGTGTCAGGGGTCGTGACACACACACTGCAGGGTGGGGGTGGGGGGGGGCCTGGGCCCAAGTGCCAGGGGACAGGAGCAGGGTGGAGGAGTACCTGTGTCCCCCGTCCTCTCGGCCTCCCTGTCCCCGAGTCCCCCCCGCCCCCCCACCCTATCCTCAGGCCCTGGTTATCTGTCTGCAAGTGTTCTCTGGGAGGGTGGGGGTGTTCTGGTCTTCAGGTCCATGCCCAGTGGACCTCTCAGTCCCAGGGTGCCGATCTGCGTGCCAGCTGTGGGCCTGGACGTGGGAGGGTCTGCTCAGGGCCCCCAGGGTCACCAGCCTGCCGGTGAGTTGGTCAGGTCCCTTCCTTCTCTGGACTCGCCCCCCATGCTGAAGATCGGGAAGGCTGGCCTGGCCCTCTGTGCGTGGGTCTCCTTCTGGTGTGGGAGAAGCAGGGCTGTACTGGGCCAGCGGGAGGGTGCGAGACCTGGAGTCAGAAACCTTGGCCGTGGGGGCCAGGGTTCACCCGGGAGCGGGCCCAGCGAGACCTTTGGCTGCAGCCTGTGCTGTGTTGATTCTGCCCACTCACCCCACCTCCCCTTCCAGAGCGCCCCCTTCCTTCTCCATAAATGGCCTGAAGAGGGCCTTCTACTCTGCTCACCACCCCCCTGACCGATACCTCCACTCCCAGGATGCCCCTCGGCCTGTGGGCCTAGGCTGCTGCTGCACTGCGCCCTGCCGCCAGGATGGCAGACTGCCGATGGCTCGGGCTGGCCGGTGTTGGGGGTTCCCGTTTCCCAGCCTTGGTCATGCATGTACGCATGGCTCTGCCACTCGGTGGGCTTCAGCAGGTGCACGTGGGACCCCCCAGTGCCCCCCACCAGAGAGGACGCACAGCGATGCCCCCGCTGGTGCCCAAGACCTGTACCTGCTTCTCTCGGGGCCGCAACCCAGTGGTAGGGGGGTGGAGGGGCGCAGGTTCTGTTGTCAGCCTGTTCATGGTGGAGGAGGCGCAGACAGGTTCAGGGCCTGCTCCGTCTCACGGCCAGTGAGGGTGTGAGAGGCCGGCTGCCTCTGATCCAAGTCCTCGTCCTCTGCCCTCCTGCCTGGCCACCATCTGATGGTGCCGTCTGCCTCTGATCCCCTCCACCCGCGTTCCCCCCCCCCAACTTCTCTGAGCCCCTTTGCAGCCCCCGCCTCTGTGCACTGCCCGCCCAGCCCCCATGGATCGCTCCAAGCTTGCCCGCCGTGGGAGGCACCCGCTCCAGGCCTTGGGGCTCCCTCCCAATGCTGGTCACTCCCATGTGGCCATCACCAGTGTCCTTGCTGTTTGCCATCCGGCCGGGAGCTCCTCTGGCCTTGGGCCTTCGTGTCCTGGGGTTCGGGAGGCGGACGGGCGCTCAGCTGAGTGAGGGCCCCGGCAGTGTGGCCATCCCTCCTGGCTGGCTCCTATTATCCAGCTGGACCTGCTCCCCAAGGCCCCACTGGCTCAGGGGGCCCATGTTCTTTGGCCAAGGCCTCCCTCTGATCCCTTGGAAGCCCCCTTGGAAGATGCCCTCACAGTGAGGGCGTCTCAGTGTGAACTGGCGGTGAGAATCCAGTTTTTATGAACTATGTGAAGCGGCCTGGCCATACTGGTACATGGGTCCCCTGTGGCTGTGGGACCCCAGCCCTAGGTCACAGCCCGGAGGGTCGTGGGGCGCACCGGCTGCGGCGGTGTGGGTGTGAGCTCGCGTGTCAGGACGGCCTGCTGCCCCTCTTCCCGCCGCGGCTCCTAGTCTCCCTGTGTCTGCGATGCGCGGGCCTCGCGCCCCGTGTCAGCTCTGTCTGGAGCCACACCCCCCTCCCCCGAGCTCCTTCCTCTCCGACTGCAGACTGACTGGCCCTGGGCCCCAGCCCCTCTGGGCGGCCCTCTCTTGTGGTCACCGTGTGTCAGAGAAGCTCCTGGAGCCTGTGCCTGTGTACCCGGGAACGGAGGCCTTCCTGCTCAGGGTCCTGCTTCCAGAGGCCCCACCGGGTGGGGCCCCGCCTTGGGCGTCCGAGAGGTGGGGCGGAGGCCGGCGGGTGGGAGCGGTGGCGCAGGCGGCCAGGGGACGCGCGGCTGTCCGAGGAGCCGAGGCTGCGTCACAGCTGCTGGGCAGAGGAGCGAGCCGCCATCCACCCGCCCCGTCCCTCCCTGCGACCTCTCCTGTCCCCTTGTGTCCACAGTGGGCTATGGCTCCTGGTTTGAGCACGTGCAGGAGTTCTGGGAGCACCACATGGATTCGAACGTTCTTTTCCTCAAGTACGAAGACATGCACCGGGTGAGTGCCTCGGGGGCGTGTCCTGAGGGGTGAGTGCCTCGGGGGCGTGTCCTGAGGGGGTGGGTGCCTCGGGGGCGTGTCCTGAGGGGTGAGTGCCTCGGGGCGTGTCCTGAGGGTTGGGGGGCGTGTCCTGAGGGGGTGAGTGCCTCGGGGCCATGTCCTGAGGGGTGGGCGCCTCCGGGTGAGTGCTAAGGGGCAGGGGTGAGGTGAAGCTTCCAGGCTCCACGCCCTCGGTCCCATAGCGGAGCCCTCAGGAAGGGTGGGGCCTGCAGTGCCTGGGTGTTGGGCGCGGCTGGGACCCCGGGGGTCCAGGTGGGCCCAGAGCGCCTGACAGGGCTTCGCCTCCAGCCCGTGCAGGCCCGCAGGTCCCTGCCCTGGCCCGGGCTGTGTGCAGCTCCCGAGTTAGGGGTGGCCTGCAGTGCTTCTGAAAGGCCTGTTTATTTTTCTGCTTCATCGGTGGTGGAGCACCACCCAGCACCCTGTCAGAGTGAGGGGACCAGCTGGGGGCAAAGGCCGAGGCGGCCGAGTCTGCGTTTCTCGTCCAGGCTGTCTGCCTGTCTGTCTGGGGGGGTGGGGGCGGGGGTGGTTTGCAGGCTGCTGACCACCCGGCGGGTGTGTGCTGGTGTCTGGCCTCTGCTCCCCTTGGTGCGCTCCCTTGCTCCCTGGGGCATGTTCTGGGCAGTGTGTCCGCCGTCGCACGTTTGTCCATCTGCTCAGGGCTTCGGGCATTTGGGCTGTTCCAGTTCTGGGTGACTGTGAGCAGAGTGCTGTGGGTGTTCCCGTGTCTCAGAAGACACGAGTTGTCTTTTCATCTTTTTTCCCTCCACCCCTGTGCTGGGCAGGGTGAGGAGGAGCCCATCTGTCCAGCTGCGGACGCACCTGCAAGGCCCGGGTGCTGGCTGGCAGGTTCCTCCCAGCGCCTCGCTTTTATGAGTCACTTAGTATTTCATCCCTAGAGAGCGGGGCACGAAGTTTACAGGAAATGTCAGAGCTGAAACACAGCCCTGTGCCCCGCTTCTCCAGACTCGCTGGGAGGCTGTGTCTGCCTTGCAGGCCTGTGGGAGAGGAGACAGCCTCTAGCATTCTCCTCAAGTGACCAAACCACCGCCCGCGTTTGGCCTGCTGACAGCCCAGGCTCTGGGCAGGATGCTGGGCTTGGCGTTACTGGGGTGGAGACGGCGAGGAGCTTTGGTGTTTCCCGGGGCAGGACGTGGCTGCAGGGGCTGAGCTGTGTGGTGAGCAGGTGGGCAGGGCCTCTCAGAGATGGTGAGGTGGCGGCAGCTGTGCCGTCAGGACTGCTGGCTCCGGGGCCCAGAGCCAGCTTCCCGTCAGTGTGCCGAGCATCACCGAATCTTCAGTGAACCAGGTTCCTGCCCCGCGAGGTGGGCTGGCCCTGGGGTCTGTCTGGGGTCCCCCGGGACCTCCTCAAGGCTCTCCCAAGTGCCGCCTGGGTTCCAGCTGATGACATGGAAGGAAGGGGAGAGCAAGCTGGTCTTGCCCTGGCACAGCGCCCCAGCGCTTTCCGTTACTGCTTGCTGCTGTTGGACAGGGCCGCCGCTACGTCCGGGCCTCACGTCTGCGTCCAGATTCCTGGAGGACTGGGGCTGGAATCCAGGTCTGCGCCTTGGGAGCTGAGCGCCCTCTGGCAGTTTCTTAACCCGGATCATTATTTCCTGAAGATACCGGCATCCGGCTTGTCTCGAGGACTTGTCTCGAGTCAGGCCATGGATAAGAGGTCCCCAGAGTGGTGTTCCGCAAAGGCGCCGCCTCTGACAGGCTCCCGCGTCTCTGCTCTTGTCTTCCAGGACCTGGTGACCATGGTGGAGCAGCTGGCCAGGTTCCTGGGGGTGTCCTGCGACAAGGCCCAGCTGGAGTCGTTAATCGAGCACTGCCACCAGCTGGTGGACCAGTGCTGCAACGCCGAGGCCCTGCCTGTGGGCCGGGGTATGCGCCCGCCCGGCCCTGGGGCCCCCGCCCCCTCCCTGCCGGCGTCCTCATGCTTTCCAGACCCCTGTCCTCCCCCCCCCCGGCCCCGAGTCAGGGTTCAGCCTCACATCTCCAGAGGCTTCCGCTCCCTGGGGTGGGGGGCAAGAAGGTAACCCAAAAAGGGCCACTGAGGATCCTGGACACCCCCGCTGGAATCGGCCTGTGACCCTGCAGAGAGTGCGGAGTTCACGGCGGGGGGAGGGGGGGGGCAGCTGCTGGGGGATGTCTCAGGCTCTGTGGGCAAGAGGTTTTCAGGCAGATGCCTCCTCAGATGACCCCCACCCTGGCGATGGGTTTGGGCTGTGGAGTTGAGGAGCACGGAGCATGCACACGACGTCCTCGAGCTCCAGCTGGCTCGAGGGGGTCTGTGTGAGCGGGGGAGGTAGCCGCATAGGTGAGGTGCAGCGCATCCCAGGGAAGGGGTGTGTGTGTGGGTCTGTGGGTCTGTGGTGTATGTGCTGTGTGTATGTGTGAGGGGTATGTGTGTGCACACGGTCTGTGTGTGTGTATGCATGTGAGAGAGCGACAGCAAGCAGGAAGTGCAGACCTCTCCAGGGCTGGCCTGGCAGCTGTCACGGAGGCCAGGGTGTCCTCCTGGCCTGAGAGCGGGGTGCTGGGGTGGAGCCGTCTGAGGTGGGGCAGGCGTTCCTGCAGGAGTCCTCCCCCGGTCTGCGGGGGGCCGCTGTTTGTGCCCCCAGGGCTCGTGCTGTTTGCAGCTGCTTCATGGTAAAGGGCTCAGGCGGTCATGTCCGTGGCACCTCAGATCCGTGGCCGAGGCTGGTTCCCAGCTCCCGGGTTGGATGGGAGGGCTCGGGAATGACACCGGACTCCACGGGCAGCCGCCCACAGGGGAGAGAGGAGCCCCGCGGCAGCCTGGCCGGGCTGCTCTGGCCCTTCGTCCTCCCTGTATGGAGGGCCGGTCGGGTTGCCGACCCGTGTGGCTCCCAGGTTGTCCTGAAGGTCAGGCGATTGGGCGCCTTCCTGTCAAGGCACGCTGGCTACTCTCTGGGAAGACGTTAGTTAATGAGCCACGTCACCTTGCCGTTTATTTCCTGGCTGCATCTTCACGAATGTTTATAATTTAAAATTTATTTGCTCTTTTTTAGTTTTGCTTTTGCTGTGTTTTGTTACCCTTGGGTGTGACCTTCTCCAGAAGCCCCCCTTTTGGTTCACTTGTGTGGTTAAGAAGTGTCAAGAACATACTGCATGCACATATGCTCCTTCCGCTGTGTTTGCTTTTATCATCGTTTACCTTGGTTTTACTTTATTTCAGTTCTTTGGTTTTGTTTTCTTTTAGCACATTGCCTCTTTGCTCAGAAGACCTCCTTGCGTTGGTGAGAATGCAGGGGCTTGAGTAGCCAGCTGCATTGCTTAGATTTGGTTCATGTCACAGCATAAATTGCACTGTCTTGAGTCCAAATCCTAAACCAGGTGGGTGACTCCTCTGACGAGCTCTTGGCTGCCTCAGCTGAGAAAAATAATCGTGGAAAAAAAATATGGTGTGGTGGGTCTAGAGATTGCTAATTCTGACCCCAAGCTGTTCTTAGAGGGTAGCAAGAACAGTCTCTTGTGTTTTTTCCTCTCCATCACTGACATAATTTTTCATCACCGAAGAGAAAACCCATGTCACTTTGGATCTGTTAGCTCAGCGTTTGCAGGGTTGCAGTTTCATACATCGGGTCCTGCCAGGACCGGTGACTGTTAATAGCGCAGCTTAATGAGCAATGCTTGCTGGGACAGTCAGAGCCCTGCTGTCACAGATGCAACGGTGAGCAGAATCCTAGACGAGCATCTCAGCGCCCCGAGGCCGGTGTGTAAAATGCGCGGCCTTGGTGCTCGGGTGACGCACTTACTGCAGACGGGAGGGCAGGGGCCGGCTCCTGACTCCTTCACACATTCACAGTGACCAGAACCAAAGATCTTGTAGTTAAGGAAAGTGGGTTCAGCAGTTTTTGTCATTTTGAGCTCTCTCCCTTCACAAAGAAGTGGAAGGCCCGTGCCGGCCCATCAATCTGTTGACTCCAGGCCCCTCATGTCCTGCAGGGGGCGGGCAGAGGGGGTCTGACCAAGCCTCACAGGCCTGTTGCTGTGATGGAGCAGCCACGGGGGCCTGGGTGGGACTGGTTTTGGTGTCGAGTTGGGAGCTCTGATGGTTTTATTCCCTGTCACTTCTCCCCTGACGTCACATGGGCAGGCTTCTCTAAATCTCCACCCTTGACCTGGCCCCAGCAGCTCCCTGCCCACCATAAAACGCTCTGCCTTTTCGGGGATGATTTTGTTTCCCTTTTAAAATTCTCCAGCAGCAGCAGCCGCCTTGGTGGAGCTGTTGAGCTGCGTAAGTAGTGGTGTCACAGAGCACACAGATCCCACGTGGCACCTGAACCGCAGACCCGCTCCACAGACACTGTCCTCGGGGGTGCTGGGACTTGCACGCCCACTCTGCCTGCTGCTGGGGACCAGCGGTGGACGGGCACGACCCTCCCCAGGGCCTCAGCTCTGCACGTTTGTGGTCCTGGGTGGAAAGCACACTGGGATGGCCAGACTCAGGGAAGCGGGCTCAGCTAGCCTGTAGTTCACATGGCTGTCGTGATCCCCACAGGACAGGTTCAGAGGGCTCCGGGAATAGGTCTGGAACCTTCCAGGTCCCTCTCCCCAGCTCCTTGTGGTTTGGCAGCTGGCCTGACCTCGAGTGAACTCAGCACGCCCCGCCCTTGTCTGTGTTGCAGGAAGGGTCGGGCTGTGGAAGGACATCTTCACCGTCTCCATGAACGAGAAGTTCGACCTGGTGTACAAGCAGAAGATGGGGAAGTGCGACCTCACGTTCGACTTCTATTTGTAATGTCAGCAACCGCACACTTGCATGCTCACAGTACCCAGACACCATAGCGCAGAGTCCCGTGTGCACTCATTTGTTTCCTGCTGGACAGACTCTGGAAGTGAGACCCCGGGGGAGGGAGGGACATGGCCCGAGAAGTTGGATAAAGCAGGTTTGAGTTCTGATCCAGAGCAGCTGTCTCGCCTTTGAAGTCTAAATGTCTGCCCACAAAGATGGCGGTTCTGGTGGACCACATGTGTCACGTCCGTTAACATATGCAACTAGAGTGTCTACGTTTATTACAACCCACACTATGTATTGTATTTTATAGAGCTTTTCACTGGAAACCTAAATAAATGTCAGTAAACCAAATAAAATTTCATTTCCGAGGGGCTCAGGAGAGCCACACCCAGGTGGTAGGAAGTGCTCAGGGTTGACTTTTTCTTTTTGTCGTTCACATGCACAGCCATTCTGTTCTCCCCTGGTGAGGTCTGGGGTGAGGCTGGGGTGGGGGGCCCGAGTTTCCCCGGTGGCGCTCAATTCTCAGCAGCTGCCCTGAGGTGCTGCAGGAGCTGTTCGCGGGGCGGGGTTTCAGAGGCTGCCTTCCAGCCAGCACCCAGAGGCCCACGCAGAGGACCCGGCGGGACGGGCATGCAACGCGGCCACCCAAGAACTGCCCCCCGCCTCCCCACCCCAGCAGAGACGGAACCTGCTCACAGCCTGACTTTTCGTTCTAGGGTCTTTGATTCCCCGAAGCAGATAACCTGCTTATGTTGGCAAATAGATGGCTTGATGGTACTTTCTAGAACTCCTGGGTCTATACCTACCGTTCATTGTTGCGTCTGGGCCTGCGGCTCTCAGCTCTGGAGACCCGCCGAGTGCGTGTGGCGCCCTGTCATGGCCCGCATAGGCTGGCAGGGTCGCCTCGGTGCTGCTCCAGGGACCAGAGGCGGGGTCTGCCCTGCCCCGCCTCCCGCTTCGTTAGCCAGCCCACGCTGGGACGGAGAACCGACAAAAGGCGGCAGGCGAGCCGCAGCGCCGGCCACCAACATGCACGCGTGTCGTGGCCCCTGTGCACCGGGCTGTCCCGGCTGTCCGTGGCTGGGACGTGCCCGGGGTGGTGGGGCCAGAGGAGTTGCCGCCTCCGCGGGAGGGTCTGTGCCGTGCTCCATCTGGAAAAGGGCGGGTGTGCGTGCTTCAGTCGTTTTGGCGAGAAGAGCAGCTTGGCCAGGGCAGGGGTGCGCGGCACTGCGCGGTGGGCTTGGCAGCACCTTCTTTCTGTGTGTTTGCGAGGGCGGCTGCTTTCTGTGAAATTTGTTTTCTATTTTTCTATTTTTAGTACTGTATGGGTGTTACTGAGCACCACACGTGAGACTTCTCTGTGCTTGCTTGCATCTTTAATAAAGACATATCCCATGCTTCGTGTCCTGCCTGTGCTGACTGGGGTAGGGGGAGTTGGGGCCCCCCCACCCCGCTGTGGTCCCCTTTGGATTTCAGGGCAGTAAAAGCGAGCCCACTGAGGTGTCCGCTGCCCCTGGGGTGAGGGTCTCGGCCCAGGTCAGGTGGGCTGGGTCACCAGGACTCAACATTCCAAGGGCTGACTCTCCCTGGCTGTTGGTCCCACCACCTTTTGGTATCTCTTTGCAGCTGAAGTGAGAGGGAGGGTGGGGGAGAAGGAGGGAAGTGGGAAGAGGTTTTGCTGCACGTGGGGTCCAGGGCTTTCTGCCTCAGTCTGGGAAGGTCCCTTTCAACAAGGCAGACGATGGTGTTGAGACCGACCTGCTGACTGTCCTTTGCCCCCGTGAATTCCAGAGCCCATCTAACTGATGCACTGTGGGAAGGAAGTCCAAGACATTCTTTTATTGGATAAAAAGCCTGGGCTCTTTGAAAAGTCATGCTGATTTTCAAATGAACTAGTTGCTTTAGGTCGCAGGTGAAGTCCCAGAATTTATTTTGGTGTTTGGGATGACCTAGACCCCCCCCTTGGGCCCACATCCAGTCTGCAATGTTCGGGGTGGGGGGGGGGCTCTGCTCCTAAATCTCCTACAGATCACCTAAAATCAGGCAGATTATAATAAAGGTGGAGCCGCTGAATCGAGAGGCAGGGCGGGGCGCGCCTTCATGGAGCTCTGCCCCGTGGATTTTCTACCACAGTCCCTGGACACGTCTGATGGCTGCGGGCGCTGCTGGCAGCACTGGAGTCCCCGGCCTGTGTGGCCTGCCCGCTCTGGTGGGGCAGCGATGTCATAAAACCCGGGTTGTGTCCAGGCCCAAGCGGGCTGTCGGGGACCCGTGCACTCCCGAAGGACCAGGGAGGCCGACGAGGAGTGGCCCCCTGAGCGGAGACCAGGGCGAGGTGAGGGACCCGGGGCGGGGGGCCGCCTGGGGGCGGAGGCCGTGTGCTGGGCAGTGCTCAGAGGCTGGATGCTGGTGGCCGGCGCGGCCAGGAGCCCCGCTCCCAGAAAGTCTCAGGGGTCACGAGAGTTGGATTTTGTAAGAAGAAATGAAGGCTCAAGAAGGCTTAACTGAAGCAATGCTGCCTGGGCATGCCCCTCACCCTCGACCTCGCTGTAGGTAGAGAGGGTGAGGGGCCAGCACCGGCCTCATGATTCACTGGGTCCACAGAACGAGGGGTGGTCAGCTGTGTTTGAACATCCCCGAGGTACCCTCCGCCCCTGGCCCTGGCTCTGAGAGCCCTCAGGGGGCAGGTGTGTGCTGGGGGCTGTTGCTGCCTCTCGCATTTGGAGCCAAGTCAAGGGCAAAATGACTCGAGGGCAAAGGTGCTGTGGATCCTCCGAGTGAAGCCAGGTTGGACAGCAGAGTGACCCAGGGGTAGTAGCCTCTGTGGGTGGGTGGGGTTTGAGGGACCAAGGTGAGGAACATCTGGACAGACGGACAGAGCCAGAGAGGCCTGGGCAGTGGGCTGACCTTACAGATTCCACCACGGGGTTCCTGTACGTCCCCGTCTCCAGGGAAGTCCTGGGTTGCCTGGCCTTTTGACTTTGCAGACTAAAAAGATTCCAAAAGGCACTTGGGGGACCTGCATAGGCTTTAACTCCTAAGCAGCTGAATTCAGCCATAGTGTCCCACCAGCTGGACCCATCGCGGTGCCCTCCAGGCTCTGACTCGGCCATCCAGGACTCATCAACCCCCCACCCACCACGCACCCAGTCCCTTCATCTGAAAGGCCCAAGCAGGTGAGCCACTTCAATTCTCCAATCCAGTGTCACAATTTATATACAACTGCATGACACTAACTTCTGGGATGGTCACAGAATCGCAGGTCTGTGCCTGGCCTTGCAGGTGAGCGCCCCCTAGTGGCCAAGTCACAGGTGCCAGCTGACTTCCTCAGTCCACAGGAAGCCCCACCCCCCCTCCCCCGGCCTGTGGATGCAGGTGGGTGCGCAGTCCCTGTCCACCCCCCAACACGTGTGGCACAGCTTTGTCGCCTTTCTGAGTGGGGTGGCTGCTGTTTGCAATGGTGGAGGGGGTCCTTGTGTGTCCCGGAGATCTCCACCCTGTGGATCCCGTCCTCCCGCAGAGCCTGGTCCCAGCCCTGCCCACAAGGCATCACCTTCCACCCCTTGCTGTTGAACAAGTGCTTTCAGACTGGAGTGGCACGTTGGCCAGGTGGTCCAGGCTCCCCCAGTGAGGAATGCCCTCTGACATCCCCGGACGTCCAGTCCCCACAGGCTGGGACAGTCATTCCATTGCTGTGGTCCTCTCCCGACACTTAAGCAGACCCCCACCTCTCGGCCTCCCTGAGATGCCCAGCCCTGCCTGACCTGGTGAATGTCGCCCCTCCGCTCCCAGGTGTACCCTGCCTTCCTCCCATCCCGCCCCCGCCTACTGCTCCGCACTGGTCTCCCCGTGTGGACAGCAACACCCTGAAAGCAGGACTGGGCTGTATTTTCCTAGGTCAGAATATGGCACATAATTAGCACCTAATATTTGCTGAGGGGCATCTTGCACTGTTGGAGTGGGTTTCATTTTTTCTGAACACCATCTGCCCTGCCCCTTCTACGCACTGCTCCTGGTCCTGCCCTCGGGGGCCATAACTTCCCAAGTAAGACCTAGGCTGGTGCCCTGCCTCCTCCCCAGTCGGGAACAGAAGGAGCGGTGCAGAGAGCCAGCCCTCCGACGATGCGAGCAAGAGAGGCGACTTGAGTGACAGCAGGAAGACGGCTGGATGGAAGAGACAGGGCGAGAGCGGGTCTGGAAACAGGTGAGACGTGAGTCGGGCAGGTGCCAGAGATGGGCATGCCAGGTGGGAAGAAATAGGACGCATTACAGAGTCAGGCATTCGGTTCTAACCCACTCTGCCTCTACTGGTGGGACCGAGGGGACGGCCCCTTTTCATCTCATAACGAGGTCTCACATCAGGTGTTTTGATATCCTACCTTGTCCAAGCATGCTGTGATTCTTAAGTGGTCAAACTGCCTATCCATCCAACCCTGGAGGAGCTGACCCATGGGGGAGATCGTGACTATTTAACTGGGGATGGACTTTGCCGGCGAGGGCAGAGAGGATTGGTTACGGGAGCACCCAGCACACAGCTTGGGCCTACCACCGCCTTCTCCAAGGCATGCTGAGCCTTTGCCAAGTCTACACATCAAATGACAGTCTGATTCTCACACTTGGATCCCTGTAAGCTAGTTGGCACTGGATGTCTGAGCTGCAGTCTTTAAATCTGTCCCCCTCACCATTGACGGAAGGAATCTGTGCTCTATTAAAAGCCTTCTTTAAAAACCAGAGAATGCGAAATGTGTTTAAAATATGAAAAAAGAAATCAACCAGAAAATGCATTTTCCCCTCTTGAGAGTTGTCATCTTTACATGTATCCGTGGTGTCAGGCACCAGCTGGGAACAGAAGTCTTAAAATATCGTGAGCAAGGCCATCTCTGCAGAAGGAAAAACTCCCAAAGCCAATAAGACTCTTCTCCAGTCTTTTGTATCCTCAAGAAAACTTAAGTGATTTGGTTAAAAATCTCCCCCCACCCTATTTTGCTTGTCTCTTATTTCTCCCCTTTAGTGTCCATAGTACATGTGATTTCTAGAAAAAAATTTTTTTTTTTACTCAAATGCAGCTGGCACCTTGGCACCCATCTCAGTCTGCCCAAGAACCCCTGGCTCTTTGGTCCCCTCTGCCCAACTCAGCCTGTCCCCTCTGCCTGGACTCCACCCAGACGACACTGACTTAAGCTTGAAGCTCAGCTCAGGCATGGTCTACTCCGAGAAGGCCCTGGACTCTCCCACTGCACCTCCTCCCAGGGGTGGGGACCACTGCCACGCCCCTCCTAACAGATCCCGAACCCAGCAGCCATCTGCTCCTTGAGAATCAGCCATGTCTCACTCTCCTTGGTGCCGAGAAGTTAGCTCAGAAAAGACACGTTGACGTCTGGAGCGTCCCTACTGGCCACTGAATTCAACCTACCCTGGTCGTCTCAACAGCCTCGGACTTTGCAGGCGTGTCATCTGTGACTCACCGCCTGGGCCCTCTCTGGTCCGGCCACACAGCTCGCTCCTACGCCCCTCACAAGCTCTTCCTCAACTCGGCTGGACCATTTTGCCCTCTTGAAAAGCCCTCCCTGCTATTTCTGCTGCTGCTGCTGCTAAGTCACTTTAGTCATGTCCGACTCTGTGTGACCTCATAGACGGCAGCCCACCAGGCTCCCCCATCCCTGGGATTCTCCAGGCAAGAACACTGGAGTGGGTTGCCATTGCCTTCTCCGCTGCTATTTCTAAGTGTTGCCAATTCATGTCCACCACCTGCCGCAAGCTGGCCTCAAAAAACGGTCTCTAGGAGGTCATCATGAATTAACTTAGCTCTCTGACGCTGCTGTCCTGTGGGTGCCCAGGCTTCCATTTTTGCCAAAGATGTCAGAGGGGTTGCAGATTGTGGCAGACAGATTGTCAGGGGCTGGTGGCTATCCCTCTCCTGGGTCCCTATCACACTTGGGACTCTGCAGCAGAAAAGGCCAGAGCCTTCCTTAGTCCGGAGCAGGAGTGACTCGGGTGTCCCCACTCTCGCCATGAGACAAGCCGTGGCACCAAGTACTTTTCTCCTTAGAATGGAGTGTGCCAGGAGTGTGCCAGGAGTGTGCCTTGAATTCTCAAAGGGCAATAACTCTCTATAATGGGATATTGGTTTACGTTTGTTAAGAAAACATTTTGTTCCTGTTTTCAAGTTTCCTTTCCTCAGGATGTGTTTTCAGCCCCAAGCAGACTATAAGTGGAGACTGAGCCTCATTCATCACTCTGTCCCCAGCCTGTGTTTAGCACAGCGCTCCATTCCTATCAGGTAATCAATAAATGCTTGTTACCTAACTAAAGGCAAATTAAATGCTAAACAGCACTAATTACAAGCTGTCGCGAGATCCTGGCTCCCAGCAGAGAGAATTGCTTGTGATTGTCAGGGGTTTGCTAGTTGCCCAGGTGTAGGAAACATGAAATTGTTATTTTCTAACTGCCTCTTTGTTCCGGAGGGTGGGCCGTTCCTCTCAGATTGCTGCGATAAGACGTTCGGAGGGCAGAATTCATTAAAATTCTAAACACTGGTATTCTTCACCATGGAATCTTGTTCAGGGGTAAGATAAGTGGATTTTGATTCCTGTCTTTGCGAGCAGAGACAGGCAGTAACTGTTAAGGGAAATGAAAGGCGTCCCCGTCTACTGGCGCACAAAAGGGGAAAGAAACCCAGGAGCTGCTACCTGTCTCTCCACAGACGATCCTAAAATGGTCCCCTGTTTACAGACGATAATCAATTATTTGTAGCGACAATGTTTAAAATGTGCAATTTAGTTTCTGGCTGATTGAACTAAAATGAGCAGCTGCGTCATCTGTCAAGGTACATATCCCGCCCGGAGAGGAAGCACCTATTTTAGCAAAGAAAAAAATAACCACGGTGGTTCTTCCAAAAGAGACGTCTGTACCTCATTTCTTTTCGTTTAATTTTATTTTCGCCTAAGGACAGCTTAGGAGAGTCTGGTCTCCATTCTGCGAGGCCACCAAAAGCACAACCGCCGGAGAAATCTCTAGGCTTCCCAGGGACGTCCTCCGCTTCGCTTTCGATGGCCCATGCATTCGTGGCACGTGCCGGCTCGTCCATCCTTTATTAATAGACGAGCTGGAAAACAGCACTTAACTTCTGAGGGGTTAATCGGTTCCTGCTACTTATTACTCTACATGAAAGCATAACTTCCATTTATAACATCACTGTTGATTAACCATGAGATGATTACAGCCTTGATTTCACAGCCTGGTCTCCTAGAGGCACTGAACTGTGGTGAAAATGTAGCCGTGAGTATTCGGCACCTGGGGGGCACACATAGCTCTCCACCACCCCGAGTTTCTTCTGGATCACTGAGAGATGAGCTGGCCGCTGGATTATCACAGGTGTAAACATACCTCCCTCACCTTTCCGTGGTTTGCGTCTCCAGATTTCACCAAAGGTTTTCAGAGGCAAAGTCTTACAATGGTTGCATAGTAGAGGCTGTAGCAATTTCTTGAGCAGGGAATGTAAGTGGTTTCAGTGGTACTGAAAGGTATCTTGTTTTTCATTTCGGCTGAGCCACGTGGCATTTGGGATCTTCCCTGACCAGGGATCAAACCTGCGTGTGTCTGGGCTGGATTGTTTCAGTCATGCCCCAACTCTTTTGTGACCCCATCGACTGTAGCCCACCAGGCTCTTCTGTCCATGGGATTTCCCAGGCAAGAATACTGGGGTGGGTTTCCATGCCCTCCTCCAGGGGATCTTCCTGACCCAGGGATTGAACCCAAGTCTCTTACCTCTCCTGCATTGCAGGCAGGTTCTTTACCACTAGCACCACCTGGGGTTTTAAAATTTCATTTATTTTTGGCTGTGCTGGGTCATCACTGCTGCGCAGGCTTCCCTCTGGTTGTGGTGCTTGGGCCTCTCATGTGACTTCTCTTGTTTCAGAGTTTAGGCTCTGGGGTGTTAGAGCTTCAGTAGTTATGGCCCTTGGGCTCAGCAGTTCCAGTTCTCGGGCTCTAGAGCACAGGCTTAATAGTTGTGGGGCACGAGCTTATTTTTTTCCACGGCAAGTGGGATCGTCTCAGACCAGGGATGGAGCTTGTGTCCCCTGCATTGGCAGGCGGATGCTTTACCCCTGAGCCACCAGGGAAGCCCAGAGCATGGAGTCTTAACCACTGGATGGCCAGGGAAGTCCTACACTCTTGAAAAGTACTGAGGATCCCCCAAAGCTTTTGTTTTTTGTGAGTTCTATCTGTCACTATTTATCATACTAGACAGTAAAAGTGATAAAAAGTTTAAACATTTGTTTACCAATTCATTTAAAATAACAATAAACCCGTCATACAGTAACATTTTATGAAACAATTGTATTTTCCAAAGCAAAAAGAATGAGTGAAGAAAGGCCGTTTTATATTGTTATGAATTCTTTAATATCTGCCTTAACAGAAGACAGCTGGATTCTCCTATTTTTGTTCTCATTCTGTCTGTTGCAAAGTCATACATCATGTAGTGTCTGGAAAACCCTACTGTACACTTATGAGAAAGTGAGAGTGAACACACAAACAACATATTGCTGCAAAGATAGTTTTGACAATTATGGACTCTCTGAAGAGGGTCTCGGGACACTCAGGGGTCCCCAGACCACCCTCGGAGAACTGCTGACCTGAACAGTTCAGTCCAAGTGCTGGTGATTGGCGAGGGGGGGTTAGGACACCAGGGGCAGAAGTGGCCTCTGTGGAAAGCACCCTTTGGTTCCAAAGTTCCAAAGCCTCTTTTGGAACAACAGCAGAAGGGATGGGGGCCACAGTGATGGTAAGGCAAACGTACGTTCCCTTCTTATGGACTGGTTTTCTCAGTGGGACCTGAGGTGAGGTCGCTCACTCAGGGTAATGGGTTAAAGGGTGTGGGAGGTCTGAGCAGAGAGAAGACATGAATTGACTCTCGGTGAGTAGGAAACCTAGCTAACCAGTGATGGACAGTCAGATCGACAAGAGGAATCATAAAGCATCCTTCTCTGGGGCTCTTGGCAGGTCTCTCTGGGGCTCTCGGCAGGTCACCCTGTAACTTACCAACAGATAGAACCACATGGCTGGGATTCCTCAGTAAGGCTGCACCTCCGGGGCCATTGCTTCTCTCTCACCTGTGAGTTAACACAGTGAGGAACAGGGTGATGCATAGCAGGACCTGGGACTCAGCCTGCTGCTGCGTAGTCGCTTTAATTGTGTCCGACTTTGTGCAACCCTATGGACTATAGCCTGCCGGGCTCCTCTGTCCGTGGGATTTCTCCAGGCAAGAATACTAGAGTGAGTTTCCATGCCCTCTTCCAGGGGAACTTCCCGACCCAGGGATCAAACCTGGGTCTCTTGCATTGCAGGCAGATTCTTTACCGCTGAGCCGCCAGGGAAGCTCGGGGCTGAGTCTGCCTGGGTTCTAATCCTGCTTTTGCCACTGAGTCACTGTGCCTCTCTGTGCCTTAGTGTCCTATCTGTAAACGGGAATAATTACTCCTAGTACCTACGTCCTAGGGCTGTTATGAAGATAAATGAAGAGGAAGTGCGCATAAAGTATTTAGATGGGTGCCTGGCAAGGGCGGTGCTCTGAAGAGTCAGCCACATTATTGCTACTATTACTGGGCTTTCCTGGTGGCTCAGGCAGTCAAGAATCTGCCTGAAGTGCAGAAGACCTAGGTTTGATCCCTGGGTCCAGGAAGATCCCCTGGAAGAGGGAATGGCAACCCACTCCAGTATTTCCAATGGGAAATCCCATGGACAGAGGGGCCGCTGGGCTACAGTCCATGGGGTCCTAAGAGTCGGACGGGAGCGACTAAACCACACCACACCACTATCCACATGACTTAATGAGTTTCTACTCATTACCATGTGAGCATGGTAAAAAACTGGCGACTCTTTATTTACTTATCTGCTGGAGTTGGAGGAAGACCGGGATGTGAGTGCTGAGAATACCAAGCTGGGCAAAGCAACCTTGTCCTGCCCTTTTCCCAGATCACCGGGAGGAGGCCAGCAGGACAGAACTAGACACAGCGGGCAACAATCGGAATCGCCAAGTGCTAACATGCAGGAAGGGCGCAGAAGTGGTCGGAGCTTAGACACCTGCCTTCAGCCTGAGGCCTTCCCTTGTGGCTCAGCTGGTAAAGAATCCGCCTACAGAGGCGGGCAGACTTGGGTTCGGTCCCTGGGTTGGGAAGATCCCCTGGAGAAGGGAAAGGCTACCCGCTCCAGTATTCTGGTTTGAAGAACTCCATGGACTGCAGTTGCAAAGAGTCAGACACGACTGAACGACTTTCACTTAGACTTTCGTCATCCTGACCCCAGGCTCTGGGTGGGTACGTTTGGTTTTTTAAACAGGTGAGGAGTCTGCTTCGCAGGATGAGACTAACCTTCCCCGGCCACGCGGCTCGAAGCGGTACTCTGCGACCCGTCCGACAGCTCGCGCGACGGCCAGGTTAACAGAAACGCGCTCTCACGACGCCCGCCACCCTGACTCTGGCTGGGGTACCCACGCCGGGAGTACAGGAACTCCGGCGGGAGCTCCTCCCGCGGGGCGGGGGGCGGAGCCACCAGGCAGGCATGGCCACGCCCCCCGAGCCAACTTCCTAGTCGTCTTGGCCAATCGGAGCTCTGTTTCTTGCCGGGTGGGGAAAGGTGTTCTCCAGTCAGCGAGCGCCGTCGTCGCTCGGGCAACAGCGTCCTAGAGACATCGCGTGGGCTGAGCCTGTGTGGCCAGGGTGCCCTGGGGTCCGCGCGCCGAGTTGGCCTCCATGAGTCGGAGGATTGAGAAAGGGGCCGGGGTAAGGCGGAGCGGCCTCGGCAAGAGCTCAAGAGCCCGGAGCGGGGAGTGTGGGGGGCGCTGAGGAGGGTCCGGGAGGATAGCTCTGGGGTGCCACAGCCCCGGGACACGTCGCATCCCCTCCTTGTCTGTGACCAAGGGGCGGTAGTGACCCGTTTACTCGTTTCACGCACGTGTGTATGTGGCGCGCCTGCCTGTGCCAGGAGCCGTTGTCGGGTCTGGGGGCTCCTGCAGTGAATTCGTTGTTGTTTTTCAGTCGCTCAGTCACATCTGACTCTGCGACCCCATGGACTGCGGCTGGCCAGTCTTTCCTGTCCTTCACTGTCTCCCAGAGTGAATATTCTCCTGCAGTGAATAGACCCATCCTTTTTATATTTCGGTAAAGACCGACTATAAACAACGTAGAGGGTGGTGAATCTGCCTCCCAGTCTCTCTGAGGGTCACATCACTCCGACTTACAAAATGTCTCATGTTTTCTTCTTCCATTTGTTCCCACAGCAGCCTTTCAAATATTTTAAGTTCCACCTTGTATATGGTGACTTGAACCCCGCAGGGTGAAGGGGGCTGTCCCCGAGAATCACACCACTAGATGTTGCAGAGCCAGAATTCAAACTGAGCACTCTTGTCTCATGTCAGAATCTTCAGGCTTTCTGGAACATTCCTCATCCTCAAACCGCAGGAATGATTCCTGCCTCCCTCAGAACTCTGTTTGGAAGCACTCTCTGAAATGTTCAGCGGTTATTTAAGACCATTGGCTGAATTACCCCATACTTCCTTTTCCTTCTGTCCTGAAAATCTTTGCCTTTCAGGATGCTTTGCCCCGTTAAGAAGACTCTTATTTCCTTTTCAAGAGGAGTAATTTAATAATGTTTCTTAAATTGTGTGTGCCGCCAAATGAGTGGACCTACAGAAATGCTGTAAAAAAAAATTTTTTTTTCGACTTTCACATACTGCTGTTCCTTCTCTTTTATCCATTGTCTTCAGCAGATGTATTTATTTGGCTAAGTCTGGGGAACTGAAAGTGAATCAGGCAAGGGCCCTTTGATTATCTGTGAGCATGTTTGTCTCCTGGTCAGTCTCACTGCAAGCTTTAGGAGGGCAAGGACTTATTTCAGTTACCTGTGCTCATGGGCACAACACCATGAGTTTAGGGCCTGGCTCATGGCAGGTGCTTGTGCTTGTAGATGTTTGTCAAGAATTGCTTACCTGAGACATTAAATCTGCTGTCCACCTTGTCTTCCGTGTCCCTACCCTTTTGCAGCTGTCCACCTCTCCCGTGCAGAGATCTCTGCATTGCCCTTGCTGTGACCCCTCCAGCTGACTGGCACATGGAGACAGAACCAGCTCTAGCAGGATGCTCAGGAGTCTGGGGCCCACCTGGAGCAGGAATCCACTGGGAGCCCATTGGCTGTTAACAAGACAGTTGCTTTCGTAAAGCCTCTTGACTGGGATCAAGTGAATGTTTAAGGTTAGTAGATGAGGAGAGTCACTGAAGTTTTTCTTGGATGATTCCTTCCCCTGCCAGGGTTGGAAAATAAGTTGTTTAATACAGATGAGAAAGGGTGATGAGGCAAGAAGCTAAAGTCACTTTCTTCCTTTAAATATCGCAAGAGAGCTGACCTTTTTGTGAAGTGTATCTACCTAAAATTACCCCAGATCTGGCTTCCTCTATAGCTCAGCTGGTAAAGAATCCACCTGCAATGCAGGAGACCTGGGTTTGATCCCTGGGTTGGGAAGATCTCGAGAAGAGAAAGGCTACCCACTCCAGTATTGTGGCCTAGAGAATTCCGTGGACTGTATAGTCCATGGGGTCGCAAAGAGTTGGACACGACTGAGCAAGTTCCACCCCAAATCTAGGTTTGTGCAGTTATACAGATTGGATCCTTGTACTAGTTAAATGTTGATTCCCTTTCCACACAGTGCTGTCTAGGACATCCACGCCATTTAAAAGAGGAGATGTAAAGGGAAGGAATGTTTGGGGAAACTCTGTGAATGGAGATAACATATGAACATGATACACTTCCAGTATGAAAGAGCTTCATTTTTCACTCTTTTCTCTTGGTTTCAGTCTTTTACTGCTATTTTGTTTATTTTGTTCAGACGCCACCGTTATCTTTTCACCTGTTTTTCTGCAGTTTGACTATTTCTATTACCATTGCTCCTCCTGGCTAATATTGAGCACTCACTGTGCTCCAGGCACAGTTTGGAACCTCTCATTACTTTTTTTAAATTGAGTGCGTCTTGCCTATGAAACAGTACAGTTATTATTCCCATTTTACAGATGAGGTAGCGAGGATGCAGAGAAGCTAGGTGGTGGCATGTGACCCCTGCTCCAGGACTGCCTGGTGACAGGGCCTGCTTTCTCAGACAGTCCCCTCTCGCTCTCAGAGATGTGTGCTCTGCACATCCCACTGGGCTTCGAGGGGACTTGTAACAAAACGTGGAGAAGGAAATGGCAACCCACTCCAGTATTCTTGCCTGGAGAATCCCATGGATGGAGGAATACAGTATGGTAAGTAGGAAAGTAACTTCAAGAAGAGAATACTCAGATAATTCTTAATGGTTAATATAGTCGGGCTGCAAATGTGGCTGTGAGCTTCTTTTTTTGTTTGTTTTTAATCGAATGAAAGATTCTTTAAATTTTATAGTGGTTTATAATTTTCAAAATTTTCACACACAGATTTCACACAATCCCATAACATCCCTGTTTTCCTCGTCACCTCCGTCTTGCCTGTCCCCCCTTCCCTCTCCCCACTGGTAACCGCTGGTTTGTTCTTTATATTTGTGAGTCTGCCTCTCTTTTGTTTTATTAGCTATGAACTTCTTGAACTCAGGAAGAAGAAAATTAAAAACAAAACAACCAAAAAAAGAAAGAAGTTGAATTCATTTTGTCCAGGCAAATAGGGCATTTTAATTTCTCCCAAAAAAAGAAAGTGTTTCTAATGCCGCCATCTAAAGGAAATTTCTCCTGGGGCTCATCAGCAAGCCCTAGATGATCCAGTTTAACACAGAGTGCCCAGGGTGTAGGCTCAGTGTCCTAGCTATTAAGGGAAGAAAGTGTAGACTGTTGCATTTGTATAGAATTTTTGAGTAGTACAAGGCACAAATCAGAGTCAAAATTCACAAAATACATAACAAAATAAGATTAAACAATAGCCAGCAAAATAGAAATTTTTGGGAACACCTTCTGAATTTTGTTTTTCGGCAGATGGTGTTATCTGGTTCCCGGGGTTGGCTCCAGTCATTTATTTGTTTGCTTAACAGTTACCTATTGAGCACCTGTCATGCCAGGCCCCGGTCTAGGCAGTGAGGACACTGCAGAGATGGTCAGATCACCACCTTCCTTTGCCTGGGGTCTCCACCCTGCCGTTTTCTCCTGCTGGACCATTCCTGGACTGACTTTGGTGTGCCACCCTTTGCTGTCCTTCCTGTAAAACCCGAGACCATACTCGGCACCGCGCACCGTAGCAGTCTCCCTGCCTTCCACCTGGGCCCTGACTTTTCTTTCTCTGCCTTCCCAGGACCTAAAGTCTGTGACAGCCGTCAAGGAGTGAGCACAGCCCACTGTGCGTCAGTCTCTTTAATACGTTATCTGGGTGCTGTGACAGCCTGTTTTGTTTGTTTGGTTGTTTTTGGCCATGCCCCGTGGCATGTGGGATCTTAGTTCTCCAACCAGGGATCGAACCCACACCCCCGGCATTGGAGGGCAAAGTCTTAACCACTGGACCACCAGGGAAGTCCTAGCGTCAGCCTGTAGAGGGTTTCACTGAACCATCGCGGGTCACTTGCCCCTTGAGGACCTGGTGGAAGCCATGTATCCTCCCTCTAGAAAAATCATCTCTCACACCCTTTTGAATTTCATCTCAGAGAGTTTGAAAGTCCAGAAGTGCGCACACGTGGACCTTGTCCCTAGATCCCAGGTTAAGAATGTGCGTGCATGGTGTCGCTCAGCTGTGTTCGACTCTTTGCAACCCCAGGCCATGGACTGTAGCCTGCCAGGCTCCTCTGTCCATGGGGAATCTCCAGGCAAGAATACTGGGGTGGACTGCCATTTCCTTCTCCAGGGGATCTTCCTGACCCAGGGATTGAACCTGTGTCTCGATTAGCAGGTGGATTCTTTACCCCTGAGCCACCTGGTAAGAATACTTGCTTTAAAGAGAGATATTATTTCCATTTTGCAAATGAGAAAACTGGGTGAGGAGGAGGTTAATTAACTTGCAAGTTTGCATGGCAGATAATGGAACTGATTTTGACTCCACGTCTTCTCGACTCTAAACCCTTAATTTTTCCCACTGTCCAAACATGTAGATGCTCAGTAAATATGGGAGTGAGTGTGTAGAAGGTCCAGAAGGGAGCTTTAAACTGAATATTCCCTGAATATGACAGAACATCATTTGATATCAGAATAGACAGGGAGAAGATTTTTCTCAAGTATTTGGATTTAGCTGCCAAAATCCTTTGTGCTGCTTGCAACTTTTTCCCAGTTTTGTCAAGTGATAATTTCCCCCCCATGATTCCAGTTCCAACAGTTTTTGCTTCTGATGCCATTTCTGTTGGGCTGTGCACATTTCTTACTCTCGTGTTGAATTATGTTTTCTCTGGATGCCAAGGCAGATGGATGGCACTTTTGTTATGATTCTGATATAAATAGCATCTGTTAAAAACTGGACATGCGTGCTTATCTGACAAATAAACAAATACATCAGTAGGATAGCCTTCTAATCATGG